CTTTCCTGCTTATGCAGGGGGTCGGACTCGATGATTTATTGAGGTCCCTTCCGACCCTAGCATCTATGAATCTATGAATATTCGGCGGCCGAATCTCTATATCTGAATCAAATCAGGAGACCAATAAAAAGGTCCTAATCAAATCGAAAGCCTCCAAATAGATTTGGAAAAGATTTGGTCATAGTCTAAACAGGCAGCAGTCCTCAAAGATGCTGGACACATTTGCCTCCAGCTGATAAGTCTGTGGTGGTGGGTGGAGAGGGGAGGAAAGGAGTGTGGGGGGGTGCAGATGAACGTCCCCGCAGTGAGGGAGGGATTAGGGCTGGGACAAGCTGCCCAGCCAGGGTGGGGCAGGGGCTGCAGCTTGGCCAGCCGGGGCAGGGGGCAGCGCAGGCATAGCTTGCTCCCAAGCAGCCAGAGGGTATAGCTGCTAGTATCTCTGAATTGAATCACTGTCTCTCCGAATCAGCCAAAACCAAATTGAATACTTGCTGCTTCGCACAGGCCTAATTCCTAGCCCCTTCAAACCTCTCTCTACAGCTATTGTGATCCTCCAAAAATATGCTTCTAGATCCTTACCTAAGTAAAATGAATTAACGATTAAAATAGTGTCTTGCCCTCAGAAATCATAGGTCAAATCTTGCAGCCCTTAAAATCAGTAGCTTAACTCTCACTGTTGGACAATGGCACAAGATCAGGCCCTACCATACTTGGAAGATGTAATGAGAAATCATTACAGTGAAGTTTCTTGCAAGGCAGAGCTTTTCATTTTACTCAATGGACAACAACAAGGCACAAGTATTTAGAACACAATTTTTCTGACGTGCTGAGCTTCCACAACTGCTCCTGACTTCAGATGAATCAAAAAGTACTCATCCCTCCTGAAAAGCTAGCTCTCAACAACTTGCTCAGAAGTCAAGCCTGAACTTGTGCCAGAACAATTCACATGCACAAATACAGACTGGGGAATGACTGGGCATGCTGCAGTACTGTCAAGAAGGACCCAGGGGTAACAGCAGACCAACAATATGCTTTGGCTACAAAAGGCCAACTGCCTACTGGGTTGCATTAACAGGCATATCAAATTCAAGTTAAAAGACTCAATTCTTCAGCTACATTCAGCACTGGTGAGGCCCCATCTGTAGCACTGTATCCAGTTCTGGGCACTGTACTTCAAGACAGACATGGACAAATTAGACAAAGTCAATTTATAATATGCAAAGTTTTTTTCCCCTATGCCACAGATTATTTGCTGCCTTTTTCATGTATTTATTTCAGGTACTTTCTGATTTAAGAAACCCAACATTTTTGTTCAGAGAGGTCAAGAATATTTCCATTCTTACGATGTAACAAAATATATGCAATTAAATCACTCAAGCTGGCAATTTATACCATGAGTGTCAAAGATAGAGCCCACAGAGCTCTTAGAAAGGTCAGGAATTCAAAGGTGGGGAGAGCAGAGGCAGGGACCAATACTGAATTCCCAGCTACAGAATCTCATGGGGAATGAATGCCACTGGTGAGGGTGAGCAACACTGATCCAACCCATGAGAAGACCCAGTCAGTAATTTTGTCACCCCTGGTTTATACCATACTGTTCTATGAAGTGTGTATCTCTTTTACAATACAGAACAACAATATTGTCAAAACCTAGCACATGTAAAGTTACCACATCCTACCAAAGTAGCAGAAATCTCTTAAAAAGTCACTTAATATTAGTATTTTGGATAGCACATTGTCCGGGGAGATGTACATCTAATCAGTTTAGGAGCAAATATAATACTTCACATGAGAGAGACTTCACGTGAGATGAACAGTTAAATTACAGGATAAATGGTGTTTTACTAAAAATACCACACACAGGAAGGAAAAGGCTGCAATTGGATCTGGATGGGCTACAGGGGTGGGTAGATGAGAACAGGATGGGTTTCAACACTGACAAGTGCAAGGTACTGCACCTGGGGAGGAAGAACCAGCAGTAGACGTACAGGCTGGGGAACTCCCTTCTCAACAGTGCAGAGGCAGAGAAGGATCATGGAGTCATTATTGAGGCCAAAATGAATGTGGGTCGACAGTGCAGGGATGCGGTCAGGAAGGCAAACTGTACCTTTTCATGCATCCACAGATGCATCTCAAACAGGTCCAAGGAGGTGATCTTCCCCCTCTATGCGACACTGGTTAGGCCGCAGTTGGAGTACTGCATCCAGTTCTGGGCGCTGCACTTCGGGGGGGAGGGGGACAGCATCGAGAGGGTCCAGAAGGGCCACCCACATGATCAGGGGGCAGCAGGGCAGGCCCTACGAGGAGAGGCTACAGGACCTGAACCTGTTCAGCCTCCACAAGAGAAGACCGTTTACGAACTAGTCAGGGGGGACCAGCAGGCATTGGGGAGTCCCTGTTCTCCCGAGCACTCCCAGGAGTGACAAGAAATAACAGTCACAAGCTGGCAGAGAGTAGATTCAGGCTAGATATCAGGAGGCGCTACTTCACTGTCAGGGCAGCTAGGATCTGGAACCAACTACCAAGAGAAGTGATGCTGCCTCCTACCCTGGAGGTCTTTAAAAGGAAGCTGGATGAACACCTGGCTGGGGTCATTTGACCCCAGTAGTCTTTCCTGCCATGGCAGGGGGTAGGACTTGATGATCTGCTCAGGTCCCTTCCGACCCTACCTACCAACTATAAATAAATAAATCTTACCAAACTGAAGTAAGAGATCATCTTCAAGCACTGGTTTCAAGTATTCCTCCTCTTCCCAAGGCAGTGGGCTGCTCAGAGAATTCAAATATTCTGCAGTTGGTTTCTGGACAGAGAAAGTTAAAGAAGCATATGACAAGTTTCTTAAAACTACAGAAGTTTTATTTCACATGCACAGGCTATGCTACTGACAGAGGTTTCACTTTTCTCCCATCACTGAAGTCATGGGAAACATTACCAAAAACACACTACACATCCTTAGAGCAAAAGCTAAGAACAAAACATTACCTGACAGCCTAACAAAACAGTAGGGAA